TTTCACACTGATAGGCATGAATACAAAGATTAAGGGAAAACTACACAACATGCAGGCCCCATTTAAGTCAGTTTTGCTGCTATTAATAAAATGCAATATTTACCCGCTTTCCACCCATGTAACAGCACTTTTAACGAACGACAGCCCAGGAATTTAACTACGAAAACCCAAATCAACAGAAGACCATTGGTGTAGACGGAGCTTGGTCCTGCCTTGAGGTCGGGGGGCTGGACTCGATGACCTCTCGAGGTCCCTTCCAGTCCTATGATTCTATGACATTATTTTTTGTTTTGGTTCCCACCCGTTGAGCCCTGTGTAAACCCAAACTGCCCCACTGGCCACAAACGGGGTGGCGGGCCACATGCAGCCCACGTTTTTAGCAGCTCTGTTTTAGAATATCACTACCAACCTTTCCCCCCAAGTGGGCAACTAATAAAGTCTGAACTATGATTTTTTGTGAATAAACAATTTTCACAAAGTACTATTATACCTATGACCAAAATAAAATAACAAGTAAAAAAATGTTCAGGAATGTTTAAAAATTATGCACTGCCAAACCCTCCCTCCTTCCCCCCAAAAAAGAAAGCAGGACTTTTTTGCTTTTCTAGGAAGATGGACCAAGTTCAGGATACTTTTTTTCAAAACATCTGCTAGAGTGTGTTTGCTCATTAGCTGCACTGAAAACCGCCTGGGGTCTGTGTGGATTTCATTGAGGCTGAGTGCAGTGGGAGATTCATCTGCATGGGGCAGCGTACAGCACCAAGCATTCAGTGAATATTTTTGTCCAATTCATTCTTTTCCTCCTTCCTTCCGTCTTTGGAAATAACTAGCAAGCTACACCAAAAAAGGTTAGCACATTACGGCTGCAAGCCAAACTATATCAAAGAACCAAGACATGCAAAATGAAGGGCTCTGCTAAGTGTGGCATACTGCAACCTTACTGGGTGTTTTCTGCTTTTGTTATACTTGTTAAAGCAGCGCTTGACTATTCCTAGCGCTGTACCAAATTCACAGCAGCAAAAAATGTGTCATGCACCATGAAATCTGATCTTGTATGTGCTTTTTTACCTTACTACAGAGATTTCATGGGGGGAGAGGGAACCAGCTTCTCTCCAATGGGGGGGAGGGGAAATCACAAGGTTATGTTAGAGGGATTGCTGTTTTGCCCCCGAAGACAGAGCAGTGCAGAAGTAAGGGTGCTGCCGCCTTCCTAGCGGGGCAGCTGGAGAGTGGCAGTTGCTGCCGGGGGCCCAGCTTTGCAGACAACAGCACAAATAAAGGTGGCAGTACCACCCCGGGCCATTTCACTTCTGTACTGCCGTGGGCCATGCCG